ACCACCGTAGGAATCTCGTCGGACCACCGCCGGACCACCGTAGGAATCTCGTCGGACCACCGCCGGACCACCGTAGGAATCTCGTCGGACCACCGCCGGACCACCGCAGGAATCTCGTCGGACCACCGCCGGACCACCGCAGGAATCTCGTCGGACCACCGCCGGACCACCGCAGGAACCTCGCCGGACCACCACAAAACCTCGCCGGACCACCACCTTAAGGCCCGACGTTCATCCCCGGCGTCCTGCCAAAGACCCGACGTCTTGTTCAAGGCCCGACACTCAGTCCCTACGTCCTGCCAAAGACCCGACGTCTTGTTCAAGGCCTGACACTCAGTCCCTACTTCCTGCCAAAGACCCGACGTCTTGTTCAAGGCCCGACGTTAAGTCCCGACGTCCTGCTGAAGACCCGACGTCCTGCTGAAGACCTTACGTCCTGCTTAAGACCCGACTTCCTACTCAAGGCCAGACCATCAACATCCGATCTTCCATGACACTGGGACTAACACGTGACTCCTTATCTCCTACCGCCTACGGTCCTTCTGACCACTGTCGCCTACTATGGTCCTTCCGACCTCCATCAACAGGCAACGGTCTTTCTGACCCCGGTCTCCTGCCGACTCCGGTCTCCCGCCGACCACGGTCCTTCAGGGCAAACAAACCTGTATATGTAACTCTTACCATGTAATACAATCTATATGATGTACATTTGCTACATCAATCCAAGGCCTTCTCCTAAGGAAGGGCCTCATTTGTAATCGACTACAAATACTAGTGGATTCATTCAAACCGGGCCAGGCCCCGTGGTTTTTCCCCCTTTTTCAGGGGTTTTCCACGTAAAAACTTTTGTGTCTCTTATGAACGCTACACCCTCTCACTTATCTGATTGTGTGCTGGATCTTCGTACAACGCTAAGACGTTAAACTATATATTTCTCTACCGCCGCGAATATTCCAGGACGTAACAAGTATGAAAGGCTATAAGGGGTAGGCCATACTAATTATTGGCTAATTATGTAGCTAATCCTTGATTAGACAGTTGCAAATTTTAGATAATTAAAATGCATATTCATTTTTGATTGAGTTGGTCACATAAAGACTAAACTATTAGCTAACCTCATCATCAATACAATTTGAATTTCTGCGAAACAAAATCCATTCATTTTTTATATAAATATGATAAGATTTGAGCATTAAATTTCCATTTTGATTTAAGCTTTGTTTGGAATAACTTTCTTATTGCTTTGTAAATTAGCTTTTTAAGCATACAAAATCTTTGAACAAGAACATTGCTTTAAAAAACAATAAAAAGCTGTTCCAAACGAAACCTTATTCGATCCATGCTTTTGTAAAGCTGAAATGACTAAAAGATTGAGCAATTATTGAGCTTGTGGGCATTTTATGATTTTAATGCTCAAATTGCCAACAAAAAAAAAAAGAGTCCAAGCTTAGAAAATTGGGCTTCAAATCAAATTATGTTATTGATTAATTGCAAATTATTGATTTGATTTAATTTCTTGAGTATACTATGGCTTCATTTGAGATAGCTTTCTTACTACTTAACTTTTTAGACCGCAATCAAAATTTTTATTTGGTCTCACTCTTTTTTGATAACTTCAAAAAAAAAAAATTTAACTAAAAAACTGCTTTCTAGAACTGCTTTAAAATATTACTTTATCTGCAGCAACCTTATAAAACAGTAAGAAAATTGTCCCAAATAAAACCTCAAACCCAAAACAAAAATTTGAAATGAATCAATTTGTTAGTTGATTAATTGAATACTAAACCAAATAAGGATTAGATAAATATCTAAATCAACATTAAAAAAAAAAAAAACAATTCAATCAATCAAATTTTGATAATTAGAGTTTTGATATAGCAAGCAAGAGAGAAAGTTCTAAATGATATGGATAACTTAGCCTCACCACTTTTTGTGGAGGCCACATGGGAAGGTCTCTTAGTGCTAGAAACCATAAAGGCAAAGGCTTGCAATGAGTGTGATGCTGAGTTGCATACTGTTGATCTTATTTCATGCATGGGGCCCATCATAAAAGAGTGGATGGGAGGGGCTTAGGTGCAAAATTATATGAGAAATGTGATGGGGTGCTTAATTGAAGCCTTATCATCAAATAAGAAATGAAATATTAAAAATAAAGTAAGAGATGGAATGTGGTCCCTAAGCCATGTGATGACTTTCCTTTTTACCTTACTTCTTTTGCCTTCACAAGAAAAAGCACTCTATGATCCCCTTATACTCTCTTTTTTTGAACATTTTGGCCAAGAGAAGATTATATCATCACTAGCATTCTTTTGTTAAAAAATAAAAAATTCAGAACATTGTTTTTAAATTTTTAATTTATTATCTTAAACTCGTGATTATTGAAGATATTATGGGAGTTTGATGTTGACATTTTGGCGTGCATATGCAAATGAGATGTAATATATAATTGGATTATTATTTAAGGACAAATTGAACCAATTTTTTAGTTTTAGATTGCATGTGGTGGAAGTATAATTGTGTGGATAACATCTTTTGCCTAATAAGGAAGTAGATGAATCTAGGTATGTCCATTATTGACGTGATCCAATAACCCGACCAAACATATTTTGGTACAGATCGACTCGTTCAACAATAGGTTAGGTTCGAGTTTCAGTTTTGTATTCGTTTGAAAAATCGTTTAGGGTCCAGGTCAATTCGCTAACCAGAATTTGATTTGATTCTCGTCATACCTAGTCACCCCTTCGCAGGCACCTCGCCCTGCACTCGTGCACCAGCCCAACAGTGCTAGCGGTGAAGTGGCCTCGCCCTCACCCCACCCACTCATGCAATCTTGCATGCCCAGTAAAGTTGCAGGAAAGACTAACTATGTATTAATAGCATAATTGACACAATGAAGTTACCTGTCACAATTTAATTGTAACATACTTCAAATCAGGGAAAACATAGATATCAACATCATTATCCTCAAAATCTTTTGATGTGATTAATCTCATCTGTTTTAACAATTATATAAATTAAATTGTCTAACCAAATATATATATTTTTCATATAAGTAATTTTAAAGTATTACGAATTTCATCTTAAATATCTTTTAAACCATTATGTATCATATATTAAATATATGCGCACAACATTCAACATGCAAAAGATGACTTGAAATTAATGCTTTCCACTTGAATGATAGTATGATAGGTGATGTATCATTACTATTAGCTTTTGAAGTGTATAAAATATTCCACTCCAACAGACAGTTACAACTGGCATTATAAATGTATATGCCATTATAATGAGCTTTTAACCAAACAAAATAATGTCAATTGAATAAACATTAACTCTATAAAACAAACAAATAAATGTGATTATCATATTTCATTGCCCTAGTACTCTGCATGATTTTCACATGTTGATCATCATATTTTATCGGCAAACTTGAAACGCATACAAAAAATATTAGAATCAGAACATCATCAACAATAATAAAATTAAAGAAAATATAACACAACTCTGTCAATATATGAATTTAGCTAACTTTGTAAATATAAATTAACTACCTACTATAATTCTATAATTGTATTGCAATATTTTCTCTAAGTTCAGCCATTTTATTTGTACCTTCACCATCAACCAAGTACACATCATTTTTTTTTGGGAAAAAATTGGGGCATAAGCCCATTCATTGACTAAAAGAAATTATAGAAAAAGGTCCAGCCCCAAGCCAAAAGCAGAGGAGGACAGCAAAAAAATTACAACAACTATAAAGAAAAAATGTAAATAAAAACCTATACCACCCCCAATTACAAGTAAAGAAACAAAATTGTGGTATACAAAAAAAACTAGGACTCAGTTATTGCTGCAGTCAAAAAACGGCGGCTCGGGATCAAAAGGAACAGAAAAACACTCCTTGTTGCCAAAACATGGCCCTCCAAGGAGCAATGCTGCAGCGTTCATCATTGTCCTGCAAAAAAAACCTCACGAACGAAGTCCCAACGGTTGCCAATCCAGCCATCCAGTAGGGACAGAGCAGCTGATTAGTTCTCCAGGCAGTCACGATAATATTCCAGATGACAAAGACAGAGGCATATAGCGCCTTCCAGAAGATAAAGAACCAATTAACCCAGCAAATACAGTAAATCATTTTCATTTTTCCATCCCAGGACCTTAGCATGACAGACTCTTTTAATTTTTCTAACCACCGTAGAGCAACAATCAATCATAATTTTATGTAATATATAATTGGATTATTATTTAAGGACAAATTGAACCATTTTTTTAGTTTTAGATTGCATGTGGTGGAAGTATAATTGTGTGGATAACATCTTTAACCTAATAAGGAAGTAGATGCATCTAGACGTTTCAATTATTGACCTGACCTAATAAATTGCCTCGAAAAATTTTGTTCCAGATTGATTTGTTTAACAAATGCGTTAGGGTTGAGCTTCAATTTTGTACTCGTTTGAGAAATCGTATCGGTTCCGGGTCAATTCGCTAACCGGAATTTGACCCGAGTCCCGTCCGACCTAATCACCCATGTGCATGCACCTCACTCCGCACTCGTGCACCAACCCAACCGTGCTCGCGGTGAAACGACCACGCCCTTGCCCTCACCCGCCAACACAATCCTACATGCTCAGGCTCTCGACTTCGCCGGCCCCCAAGTTGCATAATCTCCCCCTTACCTGCAGTCATGCAATCCCCTATGCGCCCATTGCTCGCATGTTGCGCTCTCACACCCACAGTTTAGCAGGTCTGGTTTGGGTCTAGCTTTAGGAACTATTTACTGAATCGGATTTGATTCAAGTCAACTCTTCTATGATATAAATCTAATTTAACCTCATTAAATGTATGATACGCTTGATTTTTATATTTTGAGCAAGGACATCTAAACATCTCATATCATAAAAAATACGGTAGAAATCAATCAGTATTTACTGTTTGGAATCAAAGCTTAACAATAATTCCTTTTTAATAAACATCGTTTTTTTGGCGGCTACAAAATTCTTTTCGTATCTGCTTCTTCGGTCACAAAACGGAGTTTCGGAAGCGAATTATGTCTTTTACAATAAAATTTCAAAAGCAGAACTTCTAAATAAACAATTTAAAATTACTTTCAAGTATTAATAAGCACTTTTAAAAATATTAGTCAAACATATCTTTAATCAGTAACACATAAAAAATTTCTTACACCAACGTACCATATGAAACTATGAAACTACATTAATATATAAACTTTGAAATGCAAGATAGTGCATAATCATTTAGCGCAAGTAATTTCAAAAGACAACAATAATAAACCTGATAAGCTACTGAAAAATAAAAAACATATCGTAATGTGATGTACAATGTTGATTGCTCATAGGACAAGAGAAAGAAGATGATCCAACCTAGTGCAAAGACAAACCTTTGTGCTACCAAAAAATCGAAGCAATCTGTGGCCAGAAGTGTTGGAATGGAGAAGAGTTGAAGTTGGAAGCAACTCCGAAGCAGAAATGATGAAGCGACTTGGGAAACTGTGAAGGAATTTTCTCTGGACGAGGCATTACTATATTATTATTAACTCTAAAATACAAAATAATGCATAATCATTCAATTCAAGAATATCAAAAGTCAACAATAATGAAACTGATAAGCAACTAAAAATTCAAAAAACAATTCATAATATAGTATATATTGACGATTGCTGATAAAAATGAATGAAGAAGGGGATGATCCAACCTAGGGCAAGTCCAAGCAGAAATGATGGAGCTAGTTGTGTCATGGTGAAGGAAAGTTATCTGAACGAGGCACTGGAAAATAGGAAGATCGCAGGCGTGTTTGTAGATGCACGAACCTATTGAGAGGTATTTTCGACTATTTGGTTTCTAAATAAAAATTTTTAGCACGATGAGTATATATAAAATTTTTAAGGATGAAAAAAAAAATGAAATTTGGCTCTCATTGATTTGTTGGTCAGAAATTTGACTCCCAATTAAGAAGTGCGTAGCTTATAATTAAAAAAAAAAGAAACTAATTTTAGGAAAGTTCTGCTTCCAAACGCTCACGTCAACTGATTTTGCCGTTTTAAACCCGCCCGAAAAGGGTTTAATTAAGCCGAACCAAACGAGGCCGTAGCCAGACTGACTGGCGGTTTACGATCTATTTTTCATCCCTGCGTGAGGCGGAACTCTAATGCGCTGCTCGCTTGCGCTGTGGCTAGGGTTTGTGCATTGGTCAGGCCGTCGATATGAATCAGGGCGCGGAGAAGCTGAGATGCACCAAGGAGCCGTATATAGAGGTCAACGGTCACCAGAGAATGTAAGACTGTTTTCTTGCGCTTGTTTTTAATGAAATATTTAACTGTTGCTTAGGATATTTTACTGAATTCCTTGTAATGTTCCCGCCAGTGAAAGCATTCGTTTCAGTGTACATTCCGGCGATGATATAAGAAAACAAGCAGAGGTTCAGGTTTGGAAGAATGTCGTTTACGATGTAAATATCAAGCCTGCACCCGATGGATTACTCGACCTTCGGATGGTACTTATTTTGATATGCATACTATTTTGCATTAAAATTTGCATTTTCAGAAATTGTCTGTCTGTTATATTCCTTGATCTACTCTAGTTGATGGGGAGTTATTATTATTTCTATTATCTAAGGAGGAATAATGATTTGGTATCTTCCTTTTGACTTGTTCATATTTTATTCGATTGGTGACTATACCCACCACGAACTGCTCAAATTTTTGCTCCATGGATGATGGTTTGCTGTTATTACTCAATTATTGATGCATTGTGAAGGAGAGAAAAAAATACAAATTTGTTGTGCCTTACTCGGGGAACCATTGTTTGCCATGCTTGAGATGATAACATGCCAGAATATTTCTAGGTAAAGTAGGAGTTTACCTGTGAAGAATAGTGAAGTGTCTCTATGTTCCAGTGGGAAGGACGTTACCATTTTACACAACTATCCTGTATGTTTTAAGGGATCATGCTGTAAATATAAAAGTTTATACTCATGGTTACGTAAATCGTGCAGTTGAGATAAACAAAATGATAATCTTAACATTATTTTTACTTTTGGCTTTTTTTAGTTTCATAAATTTTCTTTTAGTTTTAGTTTATTTGCGTAAGTATGCTTGTCATGCCACCACCACAACAACAAGCCTTTATCTCACTATGTGGAGTCGGCTACATGAATCTTTTTTCTCCATTGTGTCCTGGTAAGAGTCAAATTCTCATATAAATCTAATAAAGAAAGTCATTTATAATATTTTATAACCAAGTCTTTTTAGGTCTAGCTCTACCTTTCTTGACAGAAGTCAAATCTAATACATCTAACTTTCCTAATCGCGTCATTGGAAGACCGCTGTTTTATGTGACCAAACCATCTAAGGAGACTCTTTCTAATCTTATCTTCCATTGGAGCTACTCCAACCTTTTCACTTATATGCATATTTTGTATCCTGTCATGCTAACCTTTTTCCCTGGTTCAAATTGATTTCTATGTTTTTTTGGTTTAGGTCTGTTGTCGTTGGTTTTATGTTCTATGGATGAGTTTCAATTGGGTTATTGCTGATTTTGTTTGAGTTATTTAGTTCCTGATATTATAGTAATGCAGGAATTATTTTTTGTGCGTTTACAACAATTGTGGCATGTGCTTACCCACTCGGTTTTATGGTTTCGCTATAGTTTCATGCTTATCTTCGCTTCCTAACTATTTGCGATAGTTGTATGCAACTTTTCGGTTCCGTGTTTCAGCAATTGTTTTTTATTTGGGATTGGTGACTTTGATGATTATTCATACAAAATTATGGCATTTAATCTATCAATTGATTGCTTGATAAAATTCCCTCTTTCTCTCAAGCTTGTGTACCAACAGATGCTGAATTATTCAAGTGCTTATTGAGAAAATCTTCACTTTGGTTTGACATAAAGCTTAAATTTCTTTAGTTGGTGGTATCTTACATTTGTTTTTTAGTTTATATAATTTGATATTGGGTTTGTAAGTGTCATTGATTTTTTGGTCAAAACTACCACAATTGAATTCTCTTGTTGCGGCATGTTGAGAATACAACTCCCTCAGATTGATGACTTGGTAAAAATAAGAAAGATATAATTGGAATAAACTCAAGCATAAGCATAATGAAGGGATTAATTGCTCATGCATCTCATTATCTTATTCTTGCATGTGGTAGAAACAAAAAAAAGGAAGGCTTGCACCCATGGATTGGTAACTTGAGAAATTTGATGCATTAAGATGGCGAGACTAGCTAGAATGGAATGCATGTATACATATTTTACTACATGTCAGAGTCGACCACCATTCATTGTAATTATTTCTCACTAGGAATTGCATAATTTCCTATTTGTTATTTATACGTCATAAAAAATTATCTTGATTGGGCATAAATCTCGAGACATATTTGAATTATAAACTTCTAAAATTAAATTCAGGGCAATTTGAATTTTGATTCCAACAAACTTATAGCCAATTTGAATGTCTCCATAAGATGAAATCAACGTCACAAAACATACTCTAATCTGGACCAAAGTAGGCCCAACTCAAAGACCTGAATCGTAATTGAAAACTTCAAGACACTAGTTGGAAAAACAAATAAACTTCAAATTTGACATGCTTATAGTCGAATCGAGCGGCTCAACGATACTAATCCAATAAGCCTAACATTGGTTAATTCCAACATCAGAAAGACAACTAAATGCTGAACGAACGCTTCATGATTAATGGATTAATATAGGCCTTCTGATGGAGTGCTCATTTGCTTCGAAGTTCCTCCATATTTATGGGACATGCCACTCCAAAAATGTATAAATAGCCCCCAACTCTGTAGATGAAGGAGAGGAGCTTAGGCTTTGGCTGGAGATTCAAGAGAGCACTAAGATTTGAAGAATCTCAGAGCTACACCCGTTTACCACTGCTAACAAACCCTCGCTGCCCGAACGCTGCCTCCAGATCTTTGCCTGACCACTGCTGTTGGACCTTCATCGAACTTTCACTCACCAACTGCCGCCATCAGACCTTTCTCCGGCTGATTTCCACCATCGGTCCTCCTCTGCTCGAACATTGCTATTGGACCTCTTATACCTGACCATCGCCATCGGACCTTCTATGTCTGACTGCAGCCATCGAACTTTTATGGGCTTAAAACCATCATCAAATTATGATATTTCTAATTATTATCGTTTGACTACAGTCCTTTTGACCTCTGTTGCTCGACTACAGTCCTTCTGACTTTTGTCAGCAATCGATTATCTGCCATCCAATCTTTGTCGCCTGCCAACTGCGGTCCTTGAACCATCGTCCCCGACAACAGTCTCATAAACATAGTCGCCCAACTACGATCCTCCAACCACCATCGCTTAATAGTCCTTCAACCTACATCACCTGATTACGATCTTTTGACCCCCATCGCTCTATAATAATCATCGAATAGCCATCTCTCGACTACGGTATTCGACCCGTTATCGCTCAAATATGGTCTTCCAACTACTGTTGCTCGATTACGATCCTTCGACCCTCATCACCTGATTATGGACCACTATTGTGAGTTAAAGTGCAAGCTACAACCTGTTGTGGTCTTATCTAATACTGAAGCCGAGTAAATGGCTGCAGTCGATGCAATGAAGGATGCTATTTGGCTCAAAGGTTTGTTGACAGAGTTGGTTCATCCTATTTCAAAAATCGGTGAAAATTCTTTGAGGCAATCAAAGTGCTGTGTTCTTATCTAAGAATCCCATGTTTCTTGAAAGGACTAAACACATTGACATCAATTTTAACTTTCTCAAAGAAACTGTGTCAAATGGCATGATAGATATTGTGAAGGTATCTATAAAAGATAATGCATCTGATGTGTTGAACGAATCTCTTCTAAATCATAAGTTTTAGCATTGCTTAAACTTGTTAAGGATGGTAAGGGAGACACCCAGACAACATTTCAAATCAAGAGCCAATATGGTGATTATCAGATATTGGTTATTATTTGGCATGTTATTTCTATTTTTAATTTAAGTCATTGTTTTAGGCATTTTACCTTTTTGCCTCTAAGGGTTGTTTTAGTATAAATAGGAGTCCCTTGTATTGTTTCAAAAAGAGAATGCATAATAAGAATTTAGTCCAAATTTTATGTCCAAAAACAGTGAGCTCTCTTCCTACTCTCTCTCTCTCCCTCCCTCTCTCTAGGTGGAGACAACAAGAAGCTGCTGTCTATTTATCGGCCTAAACAACGAGAAGTAGCAACAGTGGAAACAACCAGGTGCTACTGGCCGGCAGGTTTAGGTGAGGGAGATTAAAAGAAGAGGTGACTAACGGGTTAGGTGGTACCGCTGGGTGCTGGAGAAGGTGCAGGAATTCAAGATCTCTTTCTTCTTGGTTTGTTTTTCTCAACAATCCTGCAAAATAAAATCAATGAGAAATTAGTTAGATGCTCAATAACGTGCTGACAACTTAATCAACAAATGGCCAATACAGAGCCTAATGCGGGAGATCTTCTTGATTTAAGAACTTAGTTGAAAACCCTTGATTAGCATGAACCACACCACTTTCTCAGCTCTAGACTTTGCTCTTCACTTGTGGGTATCTTTTCTTCTTAGAGATTTTTACCCAAAGAAATTTGGGTGGGTATTTCCTGCTACTTGTAAACAAACACGAAGAGACAAGGTTGGATCCATTATTCCAAGAAGTTAAGAAACTAAATAATGAACTATGATTACAAAAACAGAACCTAGTTAAGGCCTTTGGACGAGAAAGAAAGAGAGATTGTTGTTAAAATTTTCTTAATGAGTGCCTTACTAATGACTCCCAAGTTATTGCTTGCCCAGTTTTGGGTGTTGAACATTGCATGACACTTAGGATTTGTCTGGATGACTGTAATATTCTATAAAGTTTATTGTGAAGTTGTTGTAAAGAAAACAACTTCTTTACTATAGTTGCAAAAAGCAACTTTCCATCACATAAATTTCTAAAAAGCAGTAGCTAAAAATGTTATGGTTGCTATCTAAAAACCAAAGAATCTAGAAAGCTGTCCCAAATAAACTGTTAATTATTTACCCCCCCCCCCCAGCTTTGGGCGAATGCCCTGGTGATGGAACATCCAAATTTAAATGTTTTCAAGAGTCTCACCACCCATTTTCATAACCAAATACATGAACCGTAATCTGCAAAAACACCGGTTGGAGTGTTTGCCCCTAAATTGTGTCCGAAGAAAATTTGGGAGTCTGTTATTGACAGTTTCGACGTCTCGGACTCCAATATGATTCCCTTTGATCTCCACCTTTTCTCCAATTTCAGGGAATCCACCCCAAGATCAAACTCTTATTTACACATCTAGCCTTAAAAAAAGGAAAATAAAAGTGTTCATTAATTTAAAGAAAAAATATTTATAAATGACTTCTTCTTGATTTTTTAATTTTTGAGGTGAAAAAATATTTAAAGAATTCTGAGAGGCCATTCTTTTTCAATTACACAGCTTTCTTATTAAGTACTCTTTCCCCTTTTCTCCTTATTTTCTCCTCATTTATCATTATTGTTTGAAAATATGATTGAATCATATGAATTTTACTAGATCTGCGACAATTCAGATTTTTTTTTTTAATGAAATTTCAATACTTGTTGAATTATCATGGCATGAATTTGATGTAATACAATGAAAATGAAACAAGAATTGCTTATACGATATTAATAAAAGGTAAACTTTGCTCGACTAAACATAAACGGATGCGTATTCAAGTTAGATCTTAGAAAATTCCACGGAAAGACTAAGTAATGACTAGTTATTACGATAAAGATTAATAGGAAACTCACAAAATTACATCATTAAATAAATGAGTAGAGCAAATGGCACGTAACAAAATTCACAGTTTAAAATTTAGATCCTTCACCTTGGGATCCCTCACACACACTCTTGATAGTGGTCGGCTTAGCGGAAGAAGATTACAAACAAGCTTAGGGATGCCACTAGTAGACAAGTGATGCCAAGGGGGCTAGTCGCTGGGGAAGGAGCCGGATTTGGAGGAGCGGGTAGTCGTTCGATGATCTTCCCCTATTCAAGAGATATTTGTTCGTCGACGACTTCCGCTAAATGGGAGAGGATACGATCCACGTATTCTTGGACTCTGGTGCCTTCGGCCCCAAATCCGAGGTCAAAGAAAGGTGATCAGATGACGTCAATCTTCCCTTGAGAATTGAGAATAAGTCCGTGATCTACTTCCGGATCGTCCATGCATGATCATGGAAGGGTTTGGAGTGTTGTAGTGGTGTTGTGGTGGGGGAGCCGCCACTTGGGAGGGGCGGCCAAGGGGAAGATGAGAGAGGTGGGTGGGCTCGGGTTGGAGGAGGTGGAGAAGGGGGGCGGCTAGGGCTAGGTTAGAGTTAGGAAGGATTACTAGAGATCTGAAATTAATTTCAGATTAAGTGAATATGGAGGGAAAGAAAGTAAATTTGATTTCAAATTCAAATTGGAGTTGGGCTTAAGTGGGAAATCTAGGTGCAGCCCAAGCATGGGGCCGACGACATTATGAGAGGGAGAGGGTGATGTAGACAAAGGGGGGTCAACACTAGTCCAAAATAAATCATATTTTGGCTTCCCTTGAGTCTAGTAGTTTATCATATTTGAGCTGAACTTTTAGTTCATTTATGAGCTGGACTTTAGATCATTTATTGAACTAAGGGTTAGCTCATTATGAGCTAATATTTTAGTTCATTTATTATCTTACTTTTTATTTAATGCATTTTTATTATAGTTTTAATGTCTTAAAGTTGTCTCTTGGGCTTCCAAAAAGGGCTTTTGGAATCCCAAGAAGTTGTTTGCTTTTCCCATGGTGGCTCCTTGGTTTCCACCATTGTTTTTAATTATTTTAAGTGCTTTTGCCCCTTGGGATTCCGGCCATTTGCTGGTCTTCCGAGCCCGGGGTGTTTCCCGTGGCCGTGGCTCCTCGGTTCCGCTCGGCCTCCTTGTTTCCCGCGGTGGCTGCTTCGGTTCTTGGATTGGGCTGATTTCCGTGAGCATGGGAGGAAGATTCCTATGCTTTTTAATGCTTAGTTTTATGTGTTATATTAATGTAATGTGTCTCTTTGTATTCCCTTTCATACCTATATATATGGGGGATTGTTTATGTTTGAAAAAGTTGAATGAAATGTGATTTTTGGAAAAAATCTGTTAACCTGCGGGTTGCTTGGAAATCCTGCGGGCTCTTTCCACCCTTCTTTCTCATCCCCTCCGAAAATCCTGCAGGCTCTTTCCAACCTTTCTTCTCGGGCTTCTAACCTCTTTCGTCTCTCCGCAAGTGCCACTCCACCTGTATCCCTCTTCTCTAAGTGCAGCAACTTTAGGGTGTCTTTGAGATCGAGTCGAGTTTGTGTTTTTAATTTCTTTTTGTTTCTTTAATTTGAAATGTAAGAGTTTGTTTGTCCCTCTTCTCGTCTCTTTCTCAATTTTGTCGGTAGAAGTCCGCCTGTGTTTTTGTCGAGCAAGAAATATAGGGAGCCCTGTAGTTTTTGCCCGCATCAGAGGGGTTATGGGGAGAAATTCAAGAGCTTCCAAAACAAGCTATGTAAATTAGGAAAGGAATTGTCATATCCAATCTAATTAAAATTCCATTTGGATTTAGATTCATTTACCTTCATAATTTGGAATTCCAAATAAGGAAGATATTTGAAATTCAAAATTAGAATTTCAAATAATTAGAATTCTTTTCCCTCTTCCTTAGCTTAATTTAGGAAAGCAATTAAGGTGATGGAAATCAGTCCAATGATGGAGATGGGGGAGTAGGCCGGCTACACGAGATTGGGGAAGAAGAAGAAGAGATAGAGGAAAACCAAGAGCTCACCCGCAGGGGTTGTTGGATACTTCGATTGAGCCTCTCTTAGGCTTCACCACTCTCTCTAGAGCTCACAAAGAGATAAAAAAAACAAAAGCTGACATTTTATATCAATATTCATTAACCATTACAAAGCTAAGAGACCTTAATATATAGGCCTCAATGAAAGAAAAGCAGAAAGACACAAATGCCATTGGGGTTACAATAGCGACTCACTACCCATAGGGGGTAAACTAGGAAAATAGAAAAAAAGGAAAATAAATAAAATACAAAATAGATCAAAAGTTCAGACTCTGGATCGTAGCCGTCGATCTATGACTCCGACGACGGTACACATGTCGAAATCTTGGATTGATGTCCTCATCAGAATCCCTTCCCACATAGTGGGATAAAAATTTGATGTTATTGTTGTTGTATGAAATTTCAATCATGTGTGTGGTTGTCACGAACCTCAACTTTCTTCTAATTATTTTCTTATAGGTCAAAATCGTTTCTTTTGTATTGGATTATACCACATTCGTTTTCATTTGAAGTAGTAAATAATTGTTTTAAGATTTTCTTTTCTTGCAAAATTTGAATGTTTTTAGCATCGATTGATCACATCTAAATCTGACTTGCATGCTAGATATGGATTAGAAGCCATAAGCCCTAGAATGCCAGACATCACATCCTATATTTAATGTAATTTATTATCTCTTGCATATTGATTCATGCGCAAATTGTTCCAGTGACTTAATTGCACTGCTATGCATTAAATTTATTTGAAGATAGAAGTAAACTTTCAGATTAATTTTTTTTTTTCGAAATTCAGGGAATGAATGATGCTTTTTATGAGTAAACCTTTATTTTGCAATTCTTTAAGTTGCCAATTGTGTTTGGGTTGTTTGAAAAATATAAGTGGTTTTTAAATATAAAGTCTAAGACATATATGCGACCTTGCAATAGGGCATTCCCTCATGCCAAGTTGGTAATAAATATGATGCTTATGTGTGCATGTCATGGTTATTTTTGGGCAGGCAGGTGGAGTTTAACGTAGATTTTGGCATGATTAATTGATTTTTTAGAGGTGAAATCAAAATCATTCTACAATTTGTATTCCGGTACACTAGTATAAACATACATTGATTCATCAATCTTTTCTTTTTTTCATGATCTATTAATTCACGTCATCTGACTTTCTTTGGGGCTTCCGTCTGTTAAATCACCTTTCAACTTGTTTCAGGGCCCTCCAAATCGAAATTTTACTTGTGCTACATGTCATGGCAATTTCACAGAGTGTCCTGGACACTTTGGATGGTTGAAGCTTACGCTTCCAGTTTTTAATGTTGGTTATTTTAATTCTATCTTGAACATTCTGAAGTGCATCTGTAAGGTAATTGTTTTCCTTTGTAAACTATCCATTTTAATTGAAAACTCTATGCTTTAATGACATTGTTCAGCTATTCTCAAAATTTTTTTGATCTAAGATTATATCGATTAGTATTTCCTTGAAACTCTGGACTGCATAAATGATTCTACTAATAGGTTTTTATTTTATAATTATTGTGAATTCCTTCCAGGCTTGTGGTAGAATCCTTCTTCTAGAGAGCGAGCGGAGAATTTTCTTGAAGACAATGCGAAAGCCTAGAGCAGATCCAACTCAGAAAGATCATTTACTGAAGAAAATTAGACAAAAATGTGGTAGCGAGTGCCTCCATTGTGGCTACAAAAATGGTTTGTGCTCTAAATAAATGCGGACATCTTTAATATCTTATACAATTTTTTAGCCATTTTGGATCTATTTTGGTTAACTTAAATTGGTTGAGTTAAAGTCATCATATTTGCAAACTAAATAATGCAATCCACATTATAGTTTATTTGAAGAAATGATAGAAATTGTTGGTTTTGGATTCTTTTGTGCAAGAGAGCTGTAAAATCCCCATAACTTCTGCTCTATTTTTATAATGTCAATTTTAAATTGTCAAATGAGAAAAATTGCCAATAGTAAGTTTTATTGGGCATAGAGATACTTAAAATACAAGATTAAAGTACCCTAAAGCAAAACTCATAAAATGCAGCTTGAGTTGGCAGCAATCAGCACCTTATGTTGAACTGCTGGGTAAATTGTGATATGCATCTATTAGAGAGTGATAACTACCAGGGAAAGACCGAAAGATAACGAACCAGCCAACCACCTGGTGGAGTGGTGTGGCCTTTCATATCCATAGTGGAGGTCCGGGATTAACATCCTTGCCAAATAAATAAAATAAAATAAGGCAGATAACCATCAGTAAAAGCTCTTTAATGGATAGATTGAACTGGTTTAGGCATGCAAAAAAAGCAAATGGAGCATGTATTTGATTCGGGTTTTCAAGAACTAGAGAGGTGGTTTATGCTGAAAATGACTTACAAGGATTTGTTGGAACATATTTAGCTAATGTAATACTGAAACTAAATGTATCTCTTAGTTGGAATGGAGACCACAGAAGGTTCAACTATTTATTTTTTATCATGCTGACAATCTAATTGGACCTCCATCTTAGTGCAAAATTGCCATATGTTGGGGAAGTGAAATAGCCAATATAATGGATTCTTTTTGCTATGCAAAGTGCCGTCGAATAATTCTCCATTTCTTTGTTATCTTGTACTTCTGTGGGTGCATTGCAGCTTCAATTTCCTGTCATTTTTCAGTACATCTGTATAATTGACTTTGGGAAACCCGCATGCCAAATTCTCTTTTTAAAGCTCCTGTTGACCCATTTCGTCGATGTCTATGCCAAGTGACTTCCAATAATTTTCAGATAATGATTAGTAAATGTATGTCTATGTGGTGAAGGGAAACATGTGTCTGCTTAGCTATTGCATAAGAGATGTCATAATGTGTTTTATACGCTCATTATGTGGTGCAAATGCAGTTGCCTGTATTTTTTCATCATTGATACCGATCCAGTTGTACAATGAAATATTGAACCTTTTTTGTTCTGTTTTTGTTTCTAACTCACGGTTATTTTTATAATGAAGGTGTAGTAAAAAAATTAGGTTCTTCTCTCACTATAGTTGAAGATTTTACCAGAAAGATTGATGGAAGCATGCATGAATTCCGTTCTGCATTATCGCACTTGAAAGATGGTGCCTCTTTCCAATTAATTCATGTTCTTCGTCCACTGAAAGTTCTTGCTCTATTCAAAAGAATGCTTGATCAGGTAACCGATCTCTTAGTTCTCCAAGGCATTTTGGATGTGTTTTCTTGTAGTTATATATTTTTTAACGTTTGGTTTCATTTTTCTGTTCTCACTACAGGATTGTGAATTACTTAATCTCAATGATAGGCCTGAGAAACTTATCATTACTGACATTGCTGTGCCACCTTCTCCTATTCGACCTTCTGTGATAATGGATGCTGGAATGAGGTCAATTAATGATTTATTCCATTTTAGTCTTCGATACCAGTGCTTAGCTGAGTTTGGTGTCTTTTGCATTAGGATTGTGGTGCTGGAAATCTCACTTAACTGTCCTTTATTGCAGCATGGAAAATGACATTACTATCATCCTTAAAGGTATAGTCAACACGAATTCCATTCTCAGAGAGGATCTTGAAGGTGCTGCTCCCCTGTTTAAGTGTTTGGTGAGGTTCATGTTTTGTTTCGAGTGCTATTTTTGTTGGATCGTTCGGTGTTAATTATTTTATCAAGTTGTATTAGCATCGTGAAATTAACTTTTGGTTTTTAAATAGGCTGGTCTGAGCTTTTTAAGTGAAAGAAAAATAAATTAATTTGCAATTGGTTGTTATATAATGTTGATGCTGTCTGAAGTCCGTAGCATAGATGAATTTTCTTTTTGCCAATTCTTGTTTGCCAAATAAGCATACTCTGTGCATACATATTTTCTTGGTTGCAATTTCTAAGATGTGGGGATTGTTGTTGCCTCTAAATACTGTTCTCATGCTAATTCGTTAAATGATTTATAACTTCGATTTTTCCTATGTGGTTTGTTGACATTTTGTTTGTGTCGACTCGAGTCGGATTGGACCCCGGTCGGGTTCGATTCGACCCGATCAACTTAATCGGTCATCGTTGAACTCAAAATTTTTACAGTTTTAAACTATCTTATGGATTTAGAGGCTTCTTTTGTTTCTTTTAGCAAATATTAGCTTATTGATTGCTTTCAGGAGTGCTGGGATCTCCTTCAAGTTCAAGTGGCTGAGTATATTAATAGTGAAGCTCCTTGTGTTCCTGATAACAAAAATCGTGGGCTCATCCAACGGCTCAAGGGCAAGCAGGGGAGATTTCGTGGCAACTTATCTGGGAAGCGTGTTGAATTTACAGGGCGAACTGTGATTTCTCCAGATCCAAATTTAAAAATAACCGAGGTTTCTTTTCCCTCGAACACCTCTTTGCTATCACATAACCTTTTTGTGCATTTTCCTCTAACCATAATTAAATCCTCTATGGTCTCTAGGTTGCTATTCCAACTGTAATGGCTCAGATATTGACGTACCCTGAAAGAGTGTACCGTCACAATATAGAGAAATTAAGACAGTGTGTTCGTAATGGAAGATTTAAATATCCAGGAGCTAATTTTGCTGTATTATCAAGTGGATCAACAATGTGAGTTACCGTTAATTTAACCTTTGTTTCTTTCGCCTCTTTTAATTGATTATGTAAATAAGGAGCTTATCCTGCAGGGATTTGAAGTTTGAAGGGAGGAAAAATGTTGCAAATGACCTGAAATATGGTGATATAGTGCAAAGGCACTTGGAAGATGGTGATGTTGTTCTTTTCAACAGACAACCAAGCTTACATCGTATGTCTCTCATGTGTCACAGGGTATAGCAATGAAGTCCTTCTCTTTAGTAGACTAGGTTTTTTTATACCATTTTATTTTGCAGCTGCTCAGCTAATGTGTTGTCACTTCTCTCTTGCTTTGTACAGGCAAGAATCATGCCTTGGAAAACACTGAGATTCAATGAATCTGTTTGCAATCCATATAATGCTGATTTTGATGGTGATGAAATGAACTTGCATGTTCCTCAAACGGAAGAAGCTCGCACTGAGGCACTTACGCTTATGGGGGTATTTTTTTTTTTTTTTCAATTTTATTTGTTTTCTTGAAAAAGAACCTATGAATGCAAGTAATCCATGTTTTAAATTTATAGTGCCCGAAAACTTTTTTAGAAGGGTTTTCAATGAATGGAAATTGTTTGAATCTCACAATGGTTCTGCAAAAAAATTCTAATAAATTTAATGCAAAATGTCATTAAAAAGTATCTATTGTGCTTGGAATTAGCAAAAAGGAAGAGGTTTTTTGGCGTTTAAACATCAATATAATGAACTCATACTGGGCAAACTTAATTACGTGTGGGTAATCCATTGTCTACTTGATTCATATACTTGCATGCACATCTAAGTGAATTTTAGATTGGGGGTTCCAGCATTTGGTATGTTCGATTTTCTTTATGGCCTCCCAATCTCACGTTCTTTTATAAAAATATCAAATTGATAATTAAGTATTGTTCGATTTTCTCAAGTAGATAGCTTAACTTCTGTCTCTGCTACTAAAAGCATAGTGTGGTTGATCATGCTGAGTAGTCTTCTTGGTTGGCAAATCAGATGATCTACGTTAAATTAGATTATAGCAAAATTTACATTATAAATTATATCGATAAATTAATGTTAACTCATTTATTATTAAAAAATAAATAAATTTATTTTTATATCATATAAATAAATAAATAAATAAATATTAAATAGATAAAAATTTAAATAATATCAACCAAAAATTAAATATTATTCATATTATAAAATTTAATTAAAAAATGTGTAAAAATATATAATGTATGTGTAGTGAATCTGAAAACTTCATCTTAGTTTTTAAGTTCCACATCACTTGGCACTATATATTTGCATTGTTTATATTGCTTTTTGGGTTTGCATGAGCAAAGAAGTCACATGGAGTGATGGGGTCGTGTGAAAAAGCAAAGTTGTTGCTTATTTAATAAATAATTATTATAAAATTTAATACATATTTTAAGGTTAAAATAAAAAAAATTTAAATTAATTAATTTAGACAATGTTTAAAATTGTGTAATTGGATATTAAGACGTTTTTCATGCTTGAGGCGAGACGTAAGCCTCAAGGCGTAAGCCTCAAAATGATAAAATTGCGTAAAGTCAAAATTATAAATTTTTTGTATACTAATCTAATAATATATTAAAAGTCGACATAATAAATAAGTTATCATATATATAAAACATAAAAAGCACAAGATATGAAGTATTAAGAAATTAGCTGTTTAAAATTAAAGTAAAATTCAAATATTACAATAATAAGACAACATAAAATATAGTTCAACTCAAAATTAATTTTTTATATTTATCGTAAATTAATTTTAGAGCAGCTCAAAGTGTTTTCAAATGAAGCCATATTTAAGTCATTCTGTTGTTAGTGATTGGGTTGTGTTTGTTGAGAGATTTACTCATAACTTCCAAAATTGCATTAAGAACAATTATTTAAATAATAAACAAGCTGATTATTTTAAAAAAAATCAGGCTGAAACATCCTGCATAAAATATGACACTTAACTGTATCAGCACTCAATACCAAAGTGTTAAAAAGTAAGATTATTAGTTTCAATAAATGTTTTATATCAAAATTCCCCACTAATTGTAGAATTATCTTCTATAACATCAAATCAATAGCACTTTGGAAGGACATAAATAATACATCAAAAACTATTTAGCCAGCAAAATTATTCGCATCAAGCCAAAAACTCACATTGTAAATGTAAAATTAGTATAATAAAATAAAGCTATTTTTTTCTAAATATGAAACACATCTAATGGAGAAAAAGATTTTTAGTAACATATTATAACAAGTGGTGCATTGGTAGAATCAAACCAATTTCTCAAGATTATCTTCTCTGCTCTAATTTAGAAGTATATCTTGCATGAAAATGATTTAGTATATTTGATCATACAAAAATATGAGAAAAAGTATAAGAAAGATACATACAGAAAAATTCACGACCAACTAATCCATTCATTCACATAACACAATATCCCAGAAAAAATCCACCTATCCAAAACAACTACAAAAGTTGAAGTGGAGGCTGACACTAAAATAAATTAAAATTTTACATATGTACAAAGCTAGATCTTTCATAAAAAAAAGAAAAAGAAAAATGTATATTCCTAAAACTTCAAGAATTAAAGGATGGACAAGAGAATGAAATGAAAAATCTCTCAACAAAGCGTGTGAATATTGACATACCTGAACGACAAAAAATGGGAGAAACTGCCGCAGAGAGTTCTAAACCTTCCGAACTTCCGATATGATCCGATCCGATCCAATAGGGTACATACTCTCTACATGCGACTCCACCTACGAACGTTCGAAGAAGAAGACAATGAAGGTTCTAGAACATCATCGAAGAAGGCAATGAAGCTTTAATAACACATCCTAAACCTAACATGTGGTGCTTAGGTGAAGTCGAAGAGGAGGAACACGAAGAAGTGGAAGACAGCCGTAGTCCAAGCGAAGTCGCAAAACACGAACACAGGCGAAGTCGACGAGCACGAAGGCATGCATGCGATGTCAAAGAGCACGATGGCAGTCGAAGTTCGAAGTGCAGGGCATGAGAAGTCGAATAGCACGAAAGAAATTAGAAATACATATATTAGGTTTAGGTTTTTATTTTTTATATTAGTTTTTAAGGGTCGAACGCCTCGTTGAAGTGAGGCGAGGAACGCCTCGCGTATCACGTTCAACGCGTCTGCCTTGACGTGTAACAAAATTGAATTGCGCTGAGGTGCGCCTCTTGTTGTGCAATTTTAAACCATGAATTTAGGCTTGTTTTAAAAATTAATTATTTCATATAAAATAACCGAACCGGTTTTTGAAAACCAACACTAGATCACCAGTTAACTGGTCGAATCCTGGTCGAATCGGTTTAATCGCGCTATGAAACCGATTTTGGGAATGAACCGGACCAACCACTTTGGTCTAGTTTTTAAAACATTGTTAAAACTAGTTCTCTATTTTCTTATTTTATTCTCTTAATTTGTTTTCGCTTTATGAGCACTAATATATCTTTTTCTCCTTCTGAGTTTTACTATTGTTTTCTAAAAAGTAATGCAAATCTAGGATATATGGGCCCAACTTGTAACCATGAAGTTGTGAGCCAGCCCGAGTGGATGGAACAAATTTCTAACGATTTCAGCTCTCTTGCAAAACGTTGACAGCCATCATCTTTGTACAAGAAAACATCCTTCCGAGTTCTCTGTTGTCTTATCATTTGCAGTGTCATATTTTTTTCATTAAGAAGCAGTTAATCTAACTAGTTTTTCTTTTAGAATTTAGTAACAGGTTGCTAGTGTCACGACCCGGCCCGGTTAGCTCGTAGATACGAGGCGGGAACGAGATCGGACGTTTAGATAAGTAACTAATCATTCTTCAAGTAAATAATACTATTCAATGAAATCTTCAAAGACAAAAAGCGCCTCTAAACATTTTCTATTTTCATTCCAAAAAGTGTTTTCAAAATAAACAAGATGGCTAACTACCAACCAACATGCTAAGCCATCCAAAATTATAGTAAGAGACTACAACAAGTATAAAACTACTATAAATGAACCTGTCACCCGGGGTACGACGACTATATGTAAACCTCGGGTTGTCAGCCATCTCTTCTACCAGGTTCTCCTGAAAATTCCCAAAACTAGGGAGTGAGCTACGCTCAGTATGTGACAAATTTCAATCTAAAATTCATACAATGGGGAATGTACTATGCAAGATACCAATGCAAATCAATGTAAGGTAAATGTTTTGTTATATGTAAGGTTGATGCTTTGATGTAAGGATGTCATATGTAGAAGTTATGTCATTTGTAAAAATGCCATATTACATGTTCCTTCTTACTTAGCAAATATCAACTATTACTATTTACTATAATACACCCGTACCGGAGTACCTCTATTGTACTGATCAGGTACAATTTCATATTTGGCCATTTATCCTCATATTGCTCCAAGAGCCTTATTGTTCTCAAGAACCATATTGTGCCAAGGCACCATAATTGGTACTCCGCAATTCAACATACACAAACTTGTATTTCATAATCATAGTAATAAGATTCTTTACATCAGATGATGTGCCACATGTATGTGTATGCTTGTAGTGGGCATGTAAGTATGTAAGTCTGTTTCCTTTCAAGCTACAAATGTTTCTAAATCCCTCATAACATCAATTCTAGAACAAAAGAAATTTTCCACAAAACCCTAAATTTTTAAACCTACAATTTTCTTCATAAAACAATTTATTTTCTTACTCAAGAGTGTGCACACAAACACTCTCTAATAATTCTCTATGAAAGCCCCATCAAAATCAAAACCCTAAATTTTTCTCCAAGAAAAATCTCATAAAAGAGGGAAGTTTCTTGCAATATACACTTACCTCTCTTCTTCCCTAGGCCTCCCCGACGTTTTTCCAAAAGAAGCTCGCCGGAAAACCCGCCGGTCACCGGCCTTCGTGCGTCTCCCGTCGCCCTCCCCCTCTCTCCCGTCCGCTTCTCTTCTTTCGGCCGAGAGAACACAACAAGGGACCGAATAATTCGGTCCCTTAAGAGGGCTTTTAGAGAAAATAAAATGCCAATTACGCATGTGCCCTTTTTCCCTAATATTTCCTTAAGGGCTCTAAGGGTAAAAGGGGAAATTAGCATAAATGTTACTTAAACCTTCTTCGGCAATTTATATCTCCAAAACCGAGCGAAATTAAATATAAGTTCTTTATACCATTTCGCTCGAAATTTCGAGACGAATCTAACGAAATTTATTTCGTCGAATTCCGACGACGTCGAAATTTCACTTAAGTTCGTCGCGGCGCATCGATATGCGTGCGACGCACTCAAATGACGAATTTCGGGTTTTACAGCTAGAATTCCAGAAAACCTTGGAATCCTCCACTTGCTGAGTTAGGATAGTAGCCAATATGATGAGGACATTAGATTTTGACGTGTACCATCGTCGGAGACGCAGATCGACGGCTACGATCCAGAGCCTTTATTTCTGATTTGTTTTGTATTTTATTTATTCTCGCATTTTATTTTCATAGTTTGCCCCTGTGGGTATTTAGTCGCTTGTGTAGCCATGAGGGCATTTGTGTCTTTCTAGCTTTGTCTTATTTTGGCCTATTTAAAGGAGGCCTCATGCATTGTAAGAGGTGATGAATTATTTTGAATGAAAATTTTTATGTTCTTGTGTGATCTCTTAGCGAGTTCATGAGAGGAGAAGTCCAAGGAGGACAAGAGCAATACCCGTCAACCTTTGGTGGATTCCAAGGTTCGCGGCCCCGATTTTCTATCCTTCCCCTACACCCCACATCATCTCCACGCCAAACTCCCGCCGGCCTCACCTAGGCCCAAATCCCCATCCCGTCTTCCCCTCAATTCGAGCCCCTACTTCATCTTGCCGGCCATCTAGGGGGATCCAACCGCCGGCCCTTCCTTTAGCTGCCGGCCACCCCTTCCCCAATCTTCAACCCCCGGCCCCTACCCCTCTACCCACATGTTTCAATTTTTGAAATTCAATGAATTTGAAATTCAAATTGATTGAATTTCAAAAATTTTCAAATTTGTCTAAAGCCAAATTAGGAAAGTTTCCAATGACTTGGACTTAAATTCCTCATCCATAATTTGCCGAGACGGATTAGGAAACCCATAACTCGCTTCCCCAAATCCCTCTCCATCTCTTATTGCCGCCGGCCATAGGGGGAATTCAGATTGATTCCCTCATTTAATTCCCCCCATCCCCCACTTGGAATTTGAAATTCATAATCCAATATTTTCCCTCCGATTCCCCTTAAACTAAAATTAATTTCAGTTTTCCATTAATTCATTCAAAATTTAATTAGACCTAGCCGCCCTTCCCCCTTCTCTCCCCTAGTCCACCCGAGAACCCCCACCGTCCCCTCCTCTTGGCCGCCACTCCTAGGTAGCCACTCCTCCACCTCTACTTCCCACTACACACAAAGTTTTCTTACAATGCCCAAGGAGAGATCAACATCTTCCTCTCTCCCTTCTACGAGCCAGATTGGGAGTACGATGGCACCGTGGAACGTTACATCAATTGCATCGTTTATTGTCTCACCGAGACTATCGAGCTTTAACGACCAAGAACTCCGTGGACTCTTATCGGACGACCTCTCACTTCTCCAACTCCGGTTTCGTCTTCGGCAATTAGTCCCCTCGGCGTCACTTGTTTGATAGTGGCATCCTTAAGTGTGCTTGCAATTCTCCTCCGCTAACCTCGACTTTCAAGAGATTGAGTGAAGGATCTCTAGGTGAATGATCTAGATTTTAAACTTGAGGCTTTTGTTACATTTGCTATTTGCTTTGCCTATTAGTCATTGGTTATTATTTTGCAAGTCCTACTAATCTCAAATTGTAACCAATTGCTTTTACTTAATCTTTCAATCCCCTATTCTTAAACCTTTACGTGAGCAAACAAAGAGTTTATTGGCGGCAAAGCAAAGTTCACCACTTCTATTAATATCTTAATTGCAATTCTTGTCTATCGCATTTAGTTTCACATCACAGTACTTGTCCAGCTGGACATAGGGTGGAGAGGGATCATTCTCTACTTGGAAAGAATCGGACAAAAACTGTAGCTACCAAGTCTTTCTTTAATAATAAGGAGTGGAGTGGCAAAAATTGCAATCCATTGGTAGGAATTCTTAGGAATGGGAGTTTGTGAATTTGTTGTTTCACTAGCAAAGGATTGTAATCCGTTTGTACACCTAGAGGTTGTTGAATTAAGGATTTATTGATATGTAAATTTGATGTTTCTCCGTAAGTAAATGTAACCTGTTTAATCCATCTTGAGATTGTTTTGCTATAGGTTTACACTTATAAAATAATGTTATGATTGGTGGATTGAATTTTAGTTTCAATAATTTTTACATATCACATCACCACAAACTTTGAAACACTAATCCTTTTTTTTTGAAACACTAAACCTAAATACCTCATACCAGTATTTTTCTTACTGGCTGAAAAAAAAAAAACCTCATACACCCGCCAAACCCTTCCTTTCCATGTGCACCACCAGACCCATGATAACCCAATATAGGCATGACACCTTCCTAACTTAGCTCCATTTTTCTATAAAATCCTATAAACTATGTCATATTCCTTTCCATTTATTAAAACCATATCATCTCAATTGTGATAGCTATATATATATATATATATAAAATCCTATGAATTATTTATCAGATTCCTTTAAAATTACGACGAAATCATCTCAAAAAGTCATATTAGTTTCGCTTTGTACATTAGTGAAATCTATTGTTTAAAATTTCATCTGAATATTTTATAATTGTTCATTGCATCGATGCAACAGGTGCAAAACAATCTGTGCACACCAAAGAATGGTGAAATCTTGGTTGCTTCTACGCAAGACTTTTTAACTTCCTCCTTTTTGATTACGAGAAAGGACACCTTTTATGATCGAGCAAACTTCGCACTTTTGTGCTCATACATGGGTGATGGGATGGAATCTATTGACTTGCCTGCGCCTGCCTTGATAAAGGTGTGATCTTTATTTCTCTTCATTGTCTTTTAATTTTCATTTAACAGATGGCTTGGGGCATTAAACCTGCATTTTTTAAATTCTTTGTTAGATTGATGTGAATGATGTATGAACTATTGTATATGCTTATGATAGTTATTAGATCTACGTCTGTCTAGTTTCAGAGTTATTATTATCTGCTGTCTATCTGTCTAGACACTTCCTACCGGAAATTTCAGTATTGGTTAACAAACCAAAACATTATGATTCTCGAGGTGCTCATGTTTCATGGTGGTCACTGTTTGTTTGCTATTAGCAAGTTCTTGATTTATTTTGTTCATACTGTGTTAATCCTGGTAGGACTGGTATTTTCAGTATGATAGTCATCAAAGCATCAAGATGATCTCGTGGTATCGTAGATCATAATTCATTGCTTATTGTGATACATCTACTTTGCCATCCTCTACTTGCCAAAACCCCTTTGTGGCAGTGCAGCACTTCTTGAAAGTCTGTCCTAGCGTAGGACAATATCTTAGCCATATTACTACTCTCCTTGCTATTGGGTTTTGATTTTTTCCAATGTGAATATTCGGATTGAGAGTTCTGCACATTCCTTGATCCTTCGGTATTTTTCCAATTTTGGAAATCTCTGCGTCTTTGGGTGGATTGGAAATATATCTTTAACACTTTTCACCAAAACTAAATAATCATCAATTCCCAAAGGAATTAATAGTTGTTTTACCATGTTATTTAATCTCAATAAAAATCAATGACACTTTTCTTTTGTATTGGGAGTCAGTTGTTTTTTTTTTTACATTGGGAGTCAGTTGTTGTGTGTACCTTGAGAGCACAGTAAATTCAGCATTGTATTGCATAAATGAACGATCTCCCAACCCTAGTTTGATAGATTTATTTTGCATTTGCTTCGTTGCAGAAAAAAGACACGAACCACCATAAAAAAAATTTACACAAAATCTTTTCACTAATCAAATTGCTGAGTGGAGAATCTTCTGGAGTGCTATGGGAGGTGTGTAACATGGTTGGATTTGTTGTGCTAAGGCACATGCGATTATTAGGTTTATTTTCATATTAAATAGTTGAAAAAATATGTGTAGGTCAAATTATTGGTGATTGGGCCTTATTCACTTACACTTTTGGGTTGATAATGAGTTTGAACTGTTGTGTTAGTTTCAACTTTGATCCCTATTTATTTTACACTCTAAAAATAAGTGATATTCTATGATGCATAGACAAGGAAGTAGACATAGGACATGTCAATTATGGAAAATAAATGACATAAATATGGGTTGGTGATACTTAGTGGGCTATTCGGCCGGCTCAGCTTGGACTGAACTAGGGGATGGACAGGGCAGAACATGGTAGGGAGAAAGAAGGGAGTTCAGCCCCCTTTGTGGGGTCCATGAAAGACATGATTCATTATGTAAGGAGGATGAATCAATGGGGGATTATTTAGGGAAAGGGTTCCAATTTTGAATTCAAATATGAGAGGGAATTAATTAATGAAAGGGGGCTGATTTGGGATTGAATTAATTAAGGAAAAGGGGTTGATTTGGGAGGGAATTAGGAGAGTCTATTTAGGGTTAACTATTTTGTTTTTTTGGCATCATGCAATTTATTTTCTACTGTAATTTTCTTTGTGAGTTTCCTAGCGGTGTCTAGGGTTTGTGGGAGAGCTGATCTACCTCTCGAATAGTAGTTCAATTATATCTTGCATTGTTTTGTAAGGAGAAATCAGAAAACAAACCACTATCTTTGTGTTCCTATGCTTTTTTTCCCTTTTGTTTGTTGTTTTTACTTCAAAGATGTATCAAATTTGTATCAAACTGAGGTTTTGGAGTGACGACAGCAAAGAAAGTGGATGCATTAGAAGGCCAAGTGGTCCAAATCAAAACCGTGATGGAGGCGAAGTTCTTAACAATCGAATGCAAGTTTTCAACCATGGAAGGAAGGTTTTCATCCATGAAAAATCGATTTGGAGGGATGGATGAGATGATAAGGAAGCTCATGAAGATGCAATCCAGTACTCCACCGGTGGTTCCGATTGCTAACCTTAACCTGGAATCGACCGGGATTTCCTTGGTTGAATCTAAGGGAAAAGAAATCTGATGGAAATAGTTCGATGAGGAGAGTTTTTCATAAAGAACAATCTTCTAGGGCTCCGATAAGGGGCGGATTAGGGGTTCCAGATGGGGAGACAACAAGAAGGGAGTTTTATGGTGGAGGTGTTGGAGTGGCCGACTATAATGAAAGGCCTTTTGGGCAAGGGGAGTGGACGACCGGAGAAGGAGTGGTACGGGTTGAATCATGGGGATTGGTTCATGTGAGGCAGATGAAAGAAAGATATGATTCCCAACCTCGATGCACTGGGGGAGCCAATGGCAGAAGAGAAAGTTGGGGCGAAGATGCTTTGGTGAGGAGTTGAAGATGTCGGTATTCGAAGGGGAGATGCCCATGGGTGGGTATATCAGGTGGTGAGGTATTTCATGGTGAACTGATTAAGAGAGGATGAGAAGCTTATGGAGGTTATGTCTAGAGGGAAAACCCTCGATTGGTTCCAATAAAGGGAGAGTAGATATCCAATCCATTCTTGGTAGGAGTTTATAGATTGTTTGTTGGAACATTTCTGAGCCATTTGGGAAGGAGGCCTACATGAGCAATTTCTTGCCTTGACTCAGAAGGGGACCGTCATGGAGTATTGGGAGAGATTTGAGTTGCTGCTGGAGCGGTTGGGGGCAAATTTGGTGGTGTTGGACGGAATTTTATGAAGAGCCTCAAGCCCGACATTTGAGGGGACCTTTGATTGTTGAGATCACAGGGGTTGAAGGAGCGACAGAGCTAGTCTAGATAACAGAGGATCAAAGACAGATGGAGAAGATCATTACAAGAGGAGTAGCGAGAGGCTCTAATAGAAGTACCTCGACTTCACTGGCACCGATATCCTAGGCGGTGTCATTTCAACGAGAGGCCTCGAGGGAGAAGAATGAGGGAGTTTGCACTGGGGCCAACTTTAAGTGCTTATCAAAAGTAGAGGTGCAGGACAAGAGAGCGAATGGTTTGTGCTTCCATTGTGATGAGAAGTATGCACCAGGCCAATCGGTGCAAGGATTGCAACTCCAGGTTTTTATGGTCTGTGATGAGGAGGAGATCGACAACGAGGTTACAGTGGAGGAAGCGAAAGATAGATGAGAGCATCTACACCTTGACGTGGCAGAAGTTTCCCTTAACTTAGTGGTGGGATTTACTCGAAATCACACCATAAAGGTTAGGGGACAGATTAGAGAGTGGCCAGTGGTGTCTTTGGTTGATAGCGGGGCTACCCACAACTTCATATTAAATAAGGTGGTGGTTCAGTTGGGATTGTTATTGACAGAAATAGGAAGCTTTGGAGTCATCATGGGGATGGGAAAGGTGAAAAAGACTAGGGAGATTTGCGAGAGGCCGGTGCTGACACTCCATGACATATAGATAAGTAGATAACAAAGGATTTTCTTCCCTTGAAGCCAGGATTACATATGTCATTTTGGGCATACAATATTTGTAGACTTAGGAGAGACTACGGTAGAATGGAAGGCATTCACCATGGAATTCAGGGAGGGACGGAGGTGAGGATCGGGGGTATCTTAGTCTGTCCAAAACTAGGGTTTCTCTTAACACCGTGGTGAGGGCAATTTAGGGAGAAGGGATAGGATTCTTGGTGGAGCTCCAAAGCCTTAAGAGAGGGGAAGGCATGTAGAAAGAGGAGGTTCCAGAGATAGTTCAGCCACTCTTGCAATAATTCAGTGAGGTGTTCCAACTTCCTTAAGGCCTACGTTCCCTAGGGAGCATGAGCATGCCATCAATCTGAAAGAAGGGGTATCCACTATTAGTGTTCGACCTTACCAGTACCCACAAATTCAAAAGGTTGAAATTGAGTGGCTAATCTTGGAGATGTTGGATGCCCAGATCGTTCGTTCCAGTGCCAGCCCTTTATCCAGCCTTGTGTTGCTGGTGAAGAAGAAGAACGGTAGTTGGATGTTGGACGCTCAGATCATCCACAAGACAACTTTCAGTACTCATGAAGGCTACTATGAGTTCTTAGTGATGACTTTTGGGCTTACCAATGCTCTAGATATCTTCTAGTCGCTGATGAACAAGGTATTCCAGTCTTACCTCCGCAAGTTTGTATTGATTTTTTTTATGACATCTTGGTGTATAGCCAATTTGAGGCAGAGCATGTGGAGCACTTGAGAGTAGTGTTAGTTACATTAAAGGAGCATTAGTTGTATCAATTTGAAGAAATGTTCCCTTGCACAATGATGCATTCAATAATCTTCATTTTATTTTATTTTGAACTCTATTGTAATGTGAATTTTGTGTTTTATTTTATCCCCAATGATGGAAGGCAATCAATGATCATGTGTAGGTTGAGTGCTCTTGGGTCATGTCCACCTTTGGTTTGTTAGCTTTCTTGGTTCCTTGGGTAATTATTTGTGGGCTGATTTTCATCTAAATGGACTTGGCTCGTTGTTCTTTGCCTGTTTGTTGTTTGGAGGTTTGGGGCTGATTTGGGGGGGGGGGGGTGGCTGTCTTTTTGGCATTGCTGCTGGGTTCTTGTGTGCTGAGCTCCACTTCTTGGTGGCTGTTTGGTTTCTGGATGTTCCTTTCCTGGCCATTACTTTCCTGACAGTTCGGTTGTGGAGCTGCAGTGCCTTTTCCCCTGTTCTGGTTGGCTGTTTTGGGCGGTTGCCTTGGGGGTCTTTTGGGCTCCTTTTCTCTATTTATAGTGATGTTTTCTGCTGTTTGAAGGTTGTTGAAGCTTGATAATTGTCTCTAAAAACCTGAGGGTTTCTTCCTAAGCTTGAGAGCTTCTCCTTCCATCTATATCTTCCTCTAAGGTTTCTATCTATTTCTTCTCATCACAAGTTTACATCCCATTGTATCTTTCTTCTCTACAAAAGTGTAAGAGGTGTTGCTGTTGGTTGGTTTGTTGGTATTTACCGTAGGAGTTTCAACAGTATTGGATCGGGATTGCTGTGGTTTACCCCTGGTTTGCATGTTTCTAAGAGCATTCTAATTTACTATTTTGTCATTACATGTGAGGTGACCTCTAGTGGTTGTTCTGAGGGGATTGTTTTAAAAGTTTTAGTTATTTTTTCCACCTTTCTTCTTTTGCAACTTTAGTTTCTTGCATTGAAGTTTGTTTTGTCGGTGTTTGTTCTCCTGTTTTGGTTAGTTCATGCATGATTCAAGAGAGTCACATATGCTTGCTATCTATCTTGCACTGCACTACTACCTAAAAGGGGATCTATTCCAAAGAAATAATGAACTCAACTTAGAATCCGACACAAATACATATTATGCATTCCACTAATGGATTGAAGTTCCACATTAGGATATTGCACATTTTTTTAGTGGAAATCTAGTGGCATGATGGAGTAAAAAATAGAATGCTGTCGATAATTCCCTTGCTGAATCTACAACTCAAGGAGGTTGAATTATCATTGGCTAAAAATCATCCTATATTAGCTAAGAATCAAGTGAGAAAGTCTTACGAAGTTGTATTTGAAATTAAATAGCAATGAACATTGCTTATAATAGTGTGCAACATGATCAAATAAAGCATGTTGAGATTGACATATACTTCATCAAAGAAAAGCTAAAAGATGGTTTATCTGCATTTCTTATGTCCCTTTACGAAGTAATGAAAAGATGTTCTTATTAATGGACCTTGTAGAGCAATTTTTTATGAAATCATCTCTAAGCTGGATTGTAAAAGATCGATTCTCCAACTTGATGGGAAGGCTTTTAATATTCGGGCATTGAACGGGAATTTGAATCCATAAGCATTGAAGGAGAAAACCAGGACTAATTGGCAGGGAGGGAAAGGAAGAAGGAAACCCAAGATAGCTTGCCATGGTTGATGTACTAGGAAGCTCTTTTTATAGATTTGATTGTAATTATCCAAGTAGGATGGTTTTATTTGATTTTCAGTTAACCCCACGTAGTGGGATAACTTGTTGTTGATGTTTTTTATAAATATGTTTCCTATTTTAATTGTTTTGTTTTCAGATTTTCTTTTTAGTTTAGTCTATATATTGCCTTGTATCAAAAGCTTTAAATGAATAGGAAGAATTCTGTTATGTTCTTGTGTTATACGGACTTTTGTGATTGGTTTATTTATATGGCTTCTGTTTGAGATATTCATGTGGTGCCTATTATAATATGTTCACAAGGGAATATGTTTGCAGTCTTTTGATGTTATCTACGTTGAGAGCAATGTCTTTAATATTATCTTTTTATCTTTGTTTTGCAGCCCGTGGAGCTTTGGACTGGGAAACAACTATTTAATGTGCTTGTGCGGCCAAACGCAAGCACTAGAGTGTTTTTAAATTTAACTGTGAAAGAGAAATGTTTCAGCAAGCCTCAAAATTTATCTGAAACTATGTGTCCTCGTGATGGTTTTGTTTATTTCAGGAACAGTGAGCTCATCTGCGGGCAACTTGGGAAGGCTACTTTAGGTGCGCATCTCTTTTTTTTCTGGTTGTTTACTTTTTTCCTGATATGGAAATTCATTTCAATATGATAGCTTCATGAGTGAGTAAGATTGTTGGTTTCATGCAAGTAAGAATAGAGGAGTAATCGTCATGCAGGACATTGGAGGTCTTTGGCAAATGCAACAACAACAACAACAACAACAACATCAAGCCTTTATCCCACTACGTGGGGTCGGCTACATGAATCTTTTTTCTCCATTGTGTCCTATTAAAAGTCAAATTCTCATTTAAATCTAATAAAGAAAGGCACTTCAACCATCCAACTTGAATTCTGCTGATAATATCCCCATCTATTTCACCATCACTTTGAACAATAGATCCAAGATATCTAAAACGTGTACTCTTATTAATGACTTGATCGCCCAAAGTCACAATCCCCTCACTAGGTCTATTACTACTAAAATTACACTCCATATATTCTGTTTTAGATCTACTCAAGCGAAAACCTTTAGACTCTAAGGTTGACCTCCATAATTCAAGTTTACCTTCAACTCCTTCTCTAGTCTTATCAACAAGAAGAATATCATCAGCAAAAAGCATACACCAAGGTACATCCTCTTGCAAATGTCTAGTGAGAACATCCATGACTAGAGCAAAAAGATATGGGCTTAAGGCTGATCCTTGATGTAACCCAACCGAAATAGGGAAATACTTGGTCAATCCACCTTGTGTTTGAACACAAGTAATAGCTCCTGTATACATATCTTTAATGATTTGAATATAAGCATTATTGACTCCTTTATTTTCAAGAACTCTCCATAGCACTTCTCTTGGAACTTTATTATAAGATTTTTCTAAATCAATAAATATCATATGTAGATCCTCCTTATTTTCTCTATATTTCTCCATCAAACCTCTTAATAAATGTATGGCTTCCATAGTCAACCTACCCGACATGAATCCAAATTGATTATGAGAAACATTAGTATCACGCCGCAACCTATGCTCCATAACTCGCTCCCAAAGTTTTAAAGTACTAGGAGTATTACTAATAAAGAAAGGTCTTTGGCAAATGCAATAGTATTTAATTTTAGAAGGTCTTCATAGGGGGATATTGTAACACCCTACAGTACCCCTTAAGAGTACTAGGAGTATTACTAACATAAACATAACATTTTCATCAATTAATCGTATGATACTTTTGAAACATTTGAAAATCTTTGTAAAACATACAACAGTTTTAATTCATCACATCATCAGAAGCACCTAATAACTTTAAACTTCAACATGACATACTTACAGAGCCACTACAAAAATCCAAAATAATATATCACTGGAAAGTTTACATACCTCAAGTTTAGACTTCACAAACAAAGATAACTTTAGCATAAAAAGAATAATTAACTTGCATCTATTAATCTGCAATAATATTTTCCTTTCTTTTTATTTTAACAACAACCTATAAGAAAATACTGGTGAGCTATGAGGCTCGGTAAGCTTTGAAAATTAATTAACATTTAAAGTATAATCATTGAAAATAATCAAACTTTGAAATCATCATAAATTCATAATTAATCCTTAATCTTTACTTTTTCTGAATTCTACAGTGAACATCTATTTTAATGTATAAAAGATTTGACTATACTTTCATAACATTATTCAATGGAGCTCAAGTAAACATGACATTATCGTCATTGAATTATATAGAGGTCCCTTTTGCCTATTTACAGGTCTCTTTTGCCCCACATGCTATACAAGTATTATATTCTCTGAGGTCTCTTTGCCCCACTTACAATTTAGTTTTATATATGGGAACCCTTTTGTCCCATCTACATTTGTAAGTTATACATCAATTATAGCTAAAATTTACTTTTAAATTGATATTCACTAAACTTTCAAGTATTCATATGTCAAAAGTAAGTTATTGCATGCTTCTTAATCATTTCTGTTCAAATCTGTACACAATTAAAATGCATACCATATGCAAGAAAAATTATATCTTTTCAAAACAATATCAAATAGGAAAACATTTAGATTAACATACTTAACCTTATTTTACTCTTACATGAGTAAATTATGTATCTGGTTGTTCATACTTGAAAACTTGAAGGTATAATCCTTCCTATACATTAAACGACTTTTGATAACCTTTTACTTTAATACATTCAAAATTAATCTCTGTACTTATAATTGAAAGTCATTATATTTGAAATATACATGCATTACTTACCTTTTTGAAGATTCGTCTTTTCAACTCCACCTTGCACTCTTCTTTGACTGTAAGTAACCTACAAAATTTTAAGTTTTCTCTTGGTTTCATGAATTATAATTTAAATAACTTTGTATAAAATTCATTTATACTAACTTTACTATTTACATCGAAACCTCCCCTTTGCATAGATCTCAAAGAATCCTCATTCTTTAAACTCTCTCTAAATCTTTCTTCACAGATTCTTCAATTTGTTTACGCACTTATCTCAAACTACAATTCATAACATAATTCCATATTAACCACATCTAATTCTTGATTGTAGTTTTCAAAGAACTTTCATTTGAATAGTGTTTTAATACCTGATTTCCTTTACTATACTGCCACAATGAAATTTCTTTCATTTCTTCACTGGAATGCCGCCTAGAATGCTGCCCCTTCTGCTTGTGCCAAACAGCCACAATAATTCCTGCAAATCCCTTGCACTGTGTCATTGTGGCAGTATAGTGAATTGTGCCAAAATCTCACTGTCGAAATCCTTCTATGCCGCCTGCTGGAAAAATTCTGCTGTCAGAACAGATCTACAACAATTTCCTGCACACCATCACCCGTTCCTTTCTATTGGCATGCATGAAAATTGAATTCCAAACAAAATGGTATTCCCTTAATATGCATTGTATCGTGCTTGCCTCACCGTGCCGCCACTTTAGTGAATTAAGGGCCTCACCGTGCCGCCACTTTAGTGAATTAAGGGCTCTAATTTCCCAAGAATTCCAACAAATAAGAAGGAAAGAGGCCCACATCAACAACCAAAATTCTCAATGGATTAGGAGGGCCCACATGCTAACTACCTCCACATCCTTCGAAAACATATAATCATTCATTCATAATAAAATAAAGTTATCCAATTTAATTTAATATATTTCTTACTAATATCCCTTTACTAGTATTTACTAATACTTATAAAAATATCATAATAGAGTATTTACCTGGTTTTTTTGGATATTATAATTCTTCCCTACTTATAGAATTTTGTCCCGGAAATTCACTTTTATACTTCTTTAAACATGTGAGAAAACTTTTGTCTCATGTTGCCCTCTTTTTTCCATATAGCATGTTTTACTGACCTATATTTCTACTTTACTTTTACAAAGGGAATCATTCTGCTTCTCATTTTACGAACATCTCTGTCCAATATCCTTTCAGGTTCTTCAATATATAACAAATCTTTCTGAAGTTCAATGTCATTCTGAGAAACCCTCCGACTTTCATCTGTAACCCACTTTCTGAGTATTGAAACATGGAAAACATTGTGAACTTCTGACATATCTGTAGGTAATGCCAGCTTGTAAGCAACTTGTCCCACTATTTCAATGATTTCGAATGGACCAATGTATCTAGGACTGAGTTTTCCATCTTGACCAAATCTAGAAACACCCTTCATTGGTCTCACTTTCAAGAATACAAAATCTCCCACTTCAAATTCTATCATTTTATATTTGGGATCATATTATTTCTGTTGGCGGTCTTGAGCTGTTTTTAGTCTGTCTCTCATCATTATGACCTTTTCTGTAGTTTGGTCTACCAATTGTGGACCCAATAATTGCCTCTTACCAACTTCATACCAACTCAATGGAGTTTGATGTTTTCTGCCATATAAAGCTTCATATGGAGCCATCTTGATATTGGATTAATAGCTATTATTGTAAGTGAACTCTACCAATGAAATATGGTCTTCCCAGCTACCTCCAAAATTCAGATTACACAATCTTAACAAATCTTCCAATACTTGAATCAATCTTTATGATTGACCATCTTTCTGTGGATGAAATGCAATACCGAACTTCAATCTTGTGCCCATACTTAGTACACAAGCTTGACTCAAGCTCGAGTTCGAACCTACCATTTATTAGTAGAGCCAAGCTTGAGTTAGATGGCACTCTAGCTCTACTTGATTCATTCATGGGCAGCTTAACCTTTGGCTATCGTATGGGATGTTGAGCCTTTAATTGTGCCAAGTGGCCCTAAGTCAAAACAGTTCAAGTCATTTGAGTAAGATTGCAGTTTGGCCATCTCACCATCGAAGTACACTACATAAAAAAATATGCGATTATAATTTCACCTTCTTGGCCTCATGTAGTACCCTATCAAAGCGAGTCATTACCCATGCACAACAATTCAATCAAAATCGAGTAAAGGCTATTGTTGTTAACTTTAGTGCTCGTTCTTGCAACTTTTCCTCTATGAGAGCAAATGAGTAGAGGAGCTTTGGAGCTTTGCGAGTGGTGAATATATTGAACATTCTCAGAGTCCCATCATAAAGTAAATATCTTTTTTGTTCAGATTTGCAATATAGAAAAACAAATGACAATAGACCTCCCTTATAAAATAAATTTTTACATTTTTCCCTCTCTCTACAAAATAATTCTCCAATTGGTGGGTTCAGTATTTTAGGTTAAATCTTGATGACCAGTTTATTATACTTTGGTTTGCTAACACCATGAAAAATTCTTGAGATTGACTTACTTCTCCAAAAAATTTGAATGTTGTTTCATGGTTGTATGCGTGATGCATTCACTGTGTTTCTATTTGAAAAGATTGTAACAAGTTTGTCGTCTCAAAACTGCCATTTTTCCTCCATCACTCTTCTCTTGAAGACCATTGTTCTTTTTATGTATGATGATGCAATGCCACAAATGTTTTGTCTAAGATGAAAATATCAATATATTTCTGAGTTCACGCATATTGGCATGATAATATCGTTGTTGTTTGTTTGTCAACTAGGAAATGGCAGCAAGGATGGACTTTTTTCTGTTCTGCTGAGGGACTACAATGCATATGCTGCCGCTAGTTGCATGGGCAGACTGGCAAAATTGAGGTTCTCTTCTCAGGGCCTTGATATGTTCTTGATGTATAATTACTTACATAAACAGTGTTCAATAGCATCTGACAGCCGGAAGATGCTTTTCTAGTAGTTTGATGGCTGCTACTTAAAATATATACGGGCATCTCTACAGTATCTTTTATGAAGGGATTTATTATTGACAGATTAAATAAGACTGATTCTGTGTTTTGGCTTTTTTGACTACCTTTTTAAACAAGTAACAGAATAAAGTTTGGTAAAATTTTCTGCTATTTAATTGCTAAATGTCGTAATGGTTCTATTGATCATGTTGCAGTGCCAGGTGGATCGGAAACCATGGATTTTCTATTGGTATTGATGATGTCCAACCAGGAGAGCGTCTTATTCAGCAGAATAAAAGGACAATTGATGATGGAAATCGAGAATGCCTGGATTTTATAGCCAAATATAACAAAGGGGAGCTTACTTTGGAGACAGGATGTGATGCAGCTCAAACTTTGGAATTGAAAATTCATGATGTGTTGAATAAAATACGGTCAGCTGCAGGAAATGTAATATCAATTAGGGCATTTTTTTTACCACTTTTTCACTGAATGTCTAATATCCTCTTTTGGGAGATCTAAGCATGATGTTTTGTTTTTTTTTTAAATTTCCTTTAGACCAAAAGTTTTTATCATTACTTGGTGAGAAAAAGTGTAACCGCTATTTGAATTTTTTATTCCTTTAAATTGGATGGCATATATCCTACATGGTAGAATGTTTCAATGCCAGCAAAGTGAAATCAATAATAACAACAGGAAGAATTCTATGATTAATTACTATAGTTTCTTAATTCACGGATTTGAAATCATCTTGGTGAAAAAGTGTGAATCTGTTTCTTGTATTTAAAGTGATTTTCATCCTAAAATGTTTATGATTTTCCATTTTAGGTTTGTATGAATGAACTCCATTGGAGGAACAGTCCTTTAATAATGTCACAATGCGGATCAAAGGGTTCTCCAATAAATATTAGCCAGATGATTGCTCTTGTGGGACAACAATCTGTTGGTGGTCGTCGAGCCCCAAATGGATTTATAGATCGAGCACTTCCACATTTCCCAATAAATTCAAAGACACCTTCTGTAAGATGATGTTAAATGCAGTTACACTTTTATTCCCGCATTTGGCTTACAATTTCATTGTTCCAGATGATAATTAATTTTATTCGTTGTAATTATACTGTAACGTCCTATTAAATTTGAAGATTTTTTTTTTTTGAATTTTTTGGGTTAAAATCCCCCTTTTTTTTTTTTTTTTTTTGGGGTCTAAGATTCGGTTAGAAGGAAAGTTGGCACGTGTGGCTTTGTGAGCCAAATTTGTTGCTGAGTGGTTCCCTTTATAATCTCATGGTATCCTCTCTTATATTCTTTGATATGAAGTCAACTTTGACTTTCATTTCTGGTATATTTTGTCAAATTTACCCCTCATTTCTGGTTAAGTGAGGGATGGTAGGCAGAAGCAAGGCGGACCAGCAGCTGTAATTGCAGGAAGTTGAGGGAAAGGGCTAAGGAATCGGAGTTTAATGTCTATGATGGCAAGTCAAAATGTTGTTATGTGGTTGAATTGTTTTGGAGAGGGCCAACAACATGGAGTGATTCATTTGATGTACTAAGATGGAGCTGAGGCTGGCTGTCCAATCCAGTCGCCTATTGGTCAATAAAATGCGAACTCGAGGATTATAATGTCTGATTCACTTTATGACCTAGGCGAGGGACCATATTTTAGTTACTAAAATGCACATTTAACTTTAGTGAAGATGTTCTTTATCCCCAAATAATTGTTGGGCATCACTCTTAAGTAGAATGAGTAGCAAAGTTTCATAAAAGCTCCACAGGTCATAAGATAAATAGCATAGTTCCACCAAAAGTTTAGTGCTAAAATTTTAGTACATGGATTCTATGATTCATTTGTGTTAAAGAATGAGTTTTGGCTATTAGAGTAGAACATATATTGGCAATGATGTTGTTCCAATGCTTTTTTTCTTTTTCTTTTGGGTCGGTGTGTATGTTTGTTACTATTTTGGTTGGGTCTCTATCGGGAGGCTTCATTCACGTAAAACTAATATATTTTCTTTTTTATTACAATTCATATTTTACAAAATCCATAGCCCCTTATTGATGACTTGATTTTCCAATCAGCTTGTTTCGTTTTAACGTGGTCATTCTCTTATACTTTTTGGGCATTTTGTTGTAGGCCAAAGGCTTTGTGGCCAATTCATTTTACACTGGCTTGACGGCTACGGAGTTTTTCTTCCACACAATGGCTGGACGAGAAGGTCTTGTTGATACTGCGGTATGCGTCTTGCTTACATTCTCAATCTTTGTTAAGAGATTTCTTAACATTTTTGAAACATTTAATTCTAGTGTTTTTTCTTGATAATTAAAGATTGAACTTTGCTTAAAATTCACTTTTTTATGAACTTGCATGTTTTGAAAATCTACTCTATTTTTTGTACATTAAGTTCGAGGCAACTATTCTCCATGTCATGAGTAGTACTTTGATGAAGGCCTAGAGTTTTGTATGTTTTACAAAACTGAAGATACGGTTGATTGGATGGTGTATTTTTTGCCAAAGCGGTTCATTTTAGGGCAGAAGGAATGCTTTTATTGACGTGACACCTGAATTTGGCTAAATATGCCATTCATGTGAGTTTTTGCTTGTAGAGGTGACATTTTGAGCTTTCCTCCACCTTCGTAGTGTTATTTCATCTCCTCCTTTAATATGATATGTATAGTTTCCTAGCTCTTGTCTTGGACGACTCTCTGACTTGACCGACATGAGTGATTCACATTTCTCGGCTAAGGAGTGCGTGTGGAGGGCTAGGTGATTACTCTGGCCAAGATCCTGATGCTGAGTTCATCTATCCCAACCTATTATATACTATGAACGACATACATGGGCATGCATGAGTATATACCTATGGATATATTCTTTATTTATAGTGCTAGTTTGTTAGCAACTATATTGATAAAGGGACTTGCTTTGATCTAAAATTATGATCCAAATGTAGATTTGAAAGTAGATTTACTTGTGTAGATCAATATCCAAGTTCTTTTTGAAGGCCATCATCAAGGTGATCCTAGAGGAGGAACTGGGGTTATTTGAGATGAACTCGCTCGACAATGTCTAGAAAACCACCTTCGCTAGCTTACAATATTTGACAAGCTACGATGAAGGTGGGATCTTTGAGGAAGGCCGACATAAGGGTACTTCAATGAGGAGAGGGTTGCTCGCCTCATTTTAGAGGGCAAGGTCGTGGAACTGAAGGCAGAGCTTAACAAAGAGGAGGTAACTTTTATGGAGTTGAAGGCGGAGGTCACTTTGAAGGATGCAGTCTAGTAGGAAAAGGAGCAAGTAAAAGCACAAGTCACCAGGTAGTTGGTTGAGGTCAAGGAGATCGACGAGAGACTCACATTTTTCTTTAATTTCGACAAGTATGATGAGATCCTATGTTTGAAGTTCAAGGAGGGGTTCAAGTATTGCCAAAGAAGTTGATCTCCCTAAATGAGCTCAAATCTATCTAGACTTGCACGCTGGAAGGGACTGGCGCATACATATTGTAAATTTGATCATAACTTGCCAATGCGACTCAACCTATAGCAGGGAGTGAGGTTATTAGGTTTTTCCTAGAATTTATCAATAACTTGCCAATGCGATGCGACCTAGAATAGGGAAGAGATCTCACCTAAGCCAAGACTTGGGAACTCCAGCTCTCCTATTGGTCTTGCGCTTGGGGGCTTTATCTCATCCATAAGGAGTAGTTGATAGGAAATACTTGAGTTCGCAAGTAACCCTAAGGGTAATACTTGATTTCGCAAGTAAACCTATCACAAATTGGCGAAAAATAGCGAGAATAATGCGAAATTTGGGCGAAAACAGCCCAAAACAATATATCGCAGTAGGAAAATCAAAGCCGAACAATAAGGAAAATAAGATACAAGAGATCCTCAATTTGAGAGGAGCATCGTCTCTCCTAAATCTCTAAACAAGAGAGTTTAGAGCCTAAGTCACCAAGAAACCCTAATTGAGAACAAATCAAAACCTCCTCATTCCCTAAACATCTCTTGCTCTTAATACAAACACTTTCCTAATATAATCTCCCTCCCAAGACCTAGCCGCCCCCTCTTGAATTTCAAATCCATTAGGCAAGTTGGGGCCCACCATGTGGGCGGGCAAGAGCAATGGAGGCGGACATGTTCCGCCTCCTATAAACCTGAGCCGGCTGGGCCGGTTCAATGTGAACCGGCCTAACAATACCGCTCTCCCAAAGAATTACCTTGTCCTTAAGGTGAAAATAAGGAAATTGATGTTTCACTCTCTCATATGGCTCCCACGTGGCCTCGTAATCAGGAAGGTTCTTCCACTTGATCAATACTTCTTTAGTTCCATCTTCTTTTTGGCGAACCCCCCATCAGCTCTAAGGATTTCAAAACCACCTCTAAATCTTCAATAAGTGTTGCCGGTAACTTGGGGTTGGCTGTATAGTCACCAATGGCCCTTCTCAATTGTGATACATAAAAAACTGGATGTATAGTCGCCGTTGTTGGTAGTTTCAGCCGATATGTTACTGCTCTGATCTTCTCCGACACTTCATAAGGTCCAAAGTACCTTGGAGCAATCTTCTCATTCCTCCTGTTGGTGAATATCTTCTTTCTGTATGGTCGGAGCTTCAAGAACCCTCTCCCCCACTTCAAACTGGATGTCCTTCCTATGCCAATCAGCTTGTTTCTTCATAATTTGTTGAGCTCTCAGTAGATTTCTTCTCTTTAACTTCTCTAGCACTCTATCCCTCCTCCAAATATTCCTCTACTGAAGAAACTGGAGTACTTCTACTCTCAAAGTGTACAAAGTGGGGAGGATCTTGTCCGCACAACACCTTTAATGGGGTCATCTGCGAAGAAGAATGTAAAGATGTGTTGTACCAGTACTAAGCTCATGATTGCCACTTAGCCCATAGCTTGGGTGTCTCCAACACAAAACATCTTAAGTAAGTTTCCAAGCTCCTGTTGACTACTTCCGTTTGGTTATTCGTCTGTGGATGGTAAGCTGTGCTCCTCTTCAGAATTGTCCCCTGTAATCTGAACAACTCCCTCCAAAAGTGACTGAGGAGCACCTTATCTCTATCTGATACTATCACCTCTGGTACTCATGTAATTTGACCACCTCTGATGAAAGCTGAAGCCACTGTCACCGTTGTGTAGGGGTATCGAAGGGGGATGAAATGTGCATACTTGCTCAACTTGTCCACCACCACAAATAATCGTGAAACCTTCTGAACGGGATAGCTCATATATGAAGTTCATGAATATCTCCTCCCATACTCGTCCCGGTAGAGCCAACAGCTGTAGTAGTCCTCCTGGTGACATGGTCAGGTATTGTTTCTTTGATAGATCTCACATATGGCCACCATCTCCTCTATATCTTTATGCATCCCCTTCCAGTAAAGCTTTGAAGTTAGCCTCATGTATGTCTTATGCACTCCTGAATGGCAACCAACAGTGCTCCCATGAAACTCATGTGGGATGTGAATCGAAGTCCGGGGCATCGTAAACCTCCCCTGATATAGCAACCTGCCCCCCTCCAACTAGTACCCTGGGTGTCTACCCTCTTCCCTCAGTAAATCAGCCCTGATCTTTCCCAAATTCTCATGCCTAGCACTTTCCTCTCTGATGGCTTCCCAATCAAGCATCAAAGGAACATATAGTGCCACTATCTGCAGCTCCCCCATACATCTGGACAAGACATCTGCCGTATTGTTCTCCACTCTTGGCCTATACTGAATCTCAAAATCATACCCCCAACAACTTGGACAGCAACCTCTAATTCGCTTCTGTCACCATCCGCTGTTCCAGCAGGTATTTCAAGCTCGGTTGATCTGTCCTGACAATGAAATGCCTCTCAAGTAGGTAGCCACTTCTGGATGGCCATTAACTCTCTCTTATATACCGACTTCAGCCTGGCTCTAGCAGTCAACACCTGACTGAAATAGACAATGGGTCTATGACTTTGCATAAGCACTGCACCCAATCTGTATTCGGATGCATTTGTCTTTACTATGAAGATCTGAGTAAAATATGGCAAAGCTAGGATCGATACCATAGTAATAGCCTTCTTCAAGCTCTCAAATGCTGATGTGGCTGCCTCCTCCCATAGGAAACCATCCTTCTCCAACTGCTCAGTGAGTGGCCATGCTATGGTGATGTATCCCTTTACAAACACTCCATAGTAACCTATCAGTCCTAGGAGTCCCCTCAGCTCATTTAGATTTTTAGGCACTGGCCATTTCAACATTGCCTCAATTTTGGACTGATATGCTGTCACCCCTTCTTTTAATATCACGTGGCTCAAGTACTCTACGCTAGCTTGTGTGAAGCAGCACTTCTTCAAGTTGGCCCTCAGCTGGTGCTCCTGCAACACCTCTAATACCCTTTTTATATGCTCATAGTGCTGCTCTTCCGTCCTGCTGTAGACTAGGATGTCATCGAAGAATACCAGTACAAATCGTCTGAGATAAGATTTGAAAACTTTATTCATAAGTGCCTGGAAAGTGGCTGGAGCATTGGTGAGGCCAAAAGGCATCACCAGGAACTCATAGTGTCCATCATGAGTTCTGAAAGCAGTCTTGGGCACATCCTCCTTGTTTATTCGGAATCCAATAGAACTGGACTAGAGAAGGGACTGATGCTGGGTCTGATGATTCTTGCCTCTAGCATCTCTCTAATCAATTTTTCAATTTCATCTTTCTGAAACTGAGGGTAGCGATAAGGCCGTATGCTGATGGGTGACACACCCTCCTTCAAAATGATTGCTTGCTTCTGCTCCCTCTACGGTGGCAATTCCTGAGGTGGTTGAAACACCTCTTGAAACTGCTGCATCAATGGCTATATGGAGAGGGGTATGTCCCCACCCTCTTCCACTCTAGCTCCCTCCAAACTATGCAGCTCCACCAAATATTCTCCACCCGCCAACTGTATATCCCTCACCATAGTTTTAAGAGAAACCATGGATTTTGATATCCATGCATATCCCTTAACCACTATCTTCCTTCCATCTACCATCAACTCCCCAATTCACCTTGGTGTCTCCCAAAGTATGCAACCATTTCATCCCCAGGATGACATCTGTACTCCCTAACTCCAGCAGAAGAAAATCTTCCCTCACCTGAATCCCCTGGATAGCCAATAACACTCTTCTGTAGATCCCCTGGCCTTTTTCCACCTTCCCCGTACCTATCATCACCCCGTAACAACCAACATCCACTAATCTCACTCCCAATTGGTCGACGACCTAAG